CAAACATAGTTTATAGATAGTTTTGAAATGAATGAATAATCGTCACTTTTCGTTGGATCTTGTTTTCTAATCAAAATCATTTTTGTACTTTTGAAATATCTATTTTAGATTTGATACAGAACTTTGTTCTTTTATTAAGATGTGTTCAAATAAACGTAAATTTCATTCTTCAACAAAATCTAATCTTCATCTATTCTTCGGACCTAGTACTGTAAAAAAGCATAAACAAAAACATGATCAATCACTATTTACATATCCATTTATTGAACCATATCCACAAGCACCATTTATTCTTCAAACAAATACAAAAGAATGTCGAATTATTAATGATAAACTTGATTTAGATCTTATCTATATAACATCATTTATTTCATCACTATGTGATATGTCTCTGTATACATTTCTACTTAATATACTTCCATGGTATCGTGTAAAATATTCTAAACAAACAGATAGATTAGTACAAATAATAACACCACGTTATACAACTGTATTTGGTATTGATGATACACAACAATCAAAAGAAAAATATACTCAAACACCACGAGAAATTCCACCAATACTCAATGAACTAAAACAACATGTTGAACAAATAACAAATACAACATATAATTTTGTTTTAGTTAATTTTTATGCTAATGGTCAAGATTCAATTGCATATCATAGTGATGATGAACATTGGTTAGGTGATCAACCATGTATTGCATCATTATCATTAGGTGCTGAACGAGATTTTTATATGAAAAATAAATTAAATGAAAATCTCAAACAAAATTTTGTTCTTAACTCAGGTGATTTAATTGTTATGCGTGGTAAAACACAACATGCATGGTTACATTCAGTACCTAAACGAACATCACAATTATCTGGAAGAATTAATATTACATTTCGTCGAGCTTTGATACCTGAAGGAACAAATAATTACTATAGGTAAATATGAGAAAAATTTGACAAACTTGTTTTGTTTTTGTATTATGATTGAGATAATGATTTAGATATAATGTTGGTAATGGTCCAATGTATCGATATATTAATGGAAAAATGATCAAATATGATGGTGATGAATCTCTCTAGTTTTTTTATTGTATTTTATTGTTTAATATTATTCGTATATGTGTGTATCAAGTGTATAATTTTTTTGTCTGATAAAATAAAAGATTGTTACTACGAAATATTAGAAGTATGATAACTTTAATAGCATGAGAATTTCGATATTTAATTGCGATTGCTGAAATACATGACATAGATGAACTGAAAATATAAAAATGTGTATAGTTTTATAATGACTAATCGTCGTATTGAAGAGTTTGATTTCATTCATAAAAGAAAAAAAAACTGCTTTCGAACTACGAAAGTGAATGTTTTTTCATTAGTGATCACTACATCACAAATTATTAAAATTTAAAGATGTCAGATATCAATTTTTTGTTTATTTTATGTCATTGTTTCGTTGAAATTATCTCATTTAAAGACAATCAGAATATTCTTGAACTTATGAAACATTACATTTGGTTACGTGAGGATTAGTACAAAAATTAATGCTAAGTATCTATATCCTTGCTCTTATCTATTTCAAATTCATTCTTGTTTTCTTGATCGTCAGTCAAGATATTTTTCTAAAAGAACAGATCCTGAATTTCTGAACTTAAATTCCACAAGTATATGTGCGCAAAGAAAATCGAAAGAATGATTAGTTCTCGATATTTGATAGCATTTTCATGTTATTTCCTTGATTTCGTCATCTCTTGAAATTCGATTGTATATAATGCTATAAGATATTTCTCAACAAAATCATAGCAAATAACCTTATATTGCAGACTAGTTGAGTTTGATTATAAATTTTTATTTATGACAAAAAAAGACTTTATCCTCTTTTTGCAACTTCGGACTTTTTCTTTTCAACCAGTTACGATCACAAGATTAAAAAGGTTAAGACAAATAACTTTAATATTATCTATCTTAGTTTTTATTTTAATAATCTAACTAATTTTATAATCTTTTCTTGAATAATTATAAATATAGCAATGAATAAATTAATCTATAAAATAATATAAAAAAGAAAAGAAAATAATTAATGTTACAATTGTCGTTTAATTTGTTCTAAACATTGTGTAACTTCTGTAATTAATGGATGTGTTTTTGGATAATTATGACGAAAGATTTGTTCAGCACGTGAATAATTATTTTGAGCATCAATAAGTGATGATAATTTTGAATCAAGCTTACCCAGATTGAAATAACTTATTCCAATATCAGGATGATTTGTATTAAGTTGACTTAAATATTTGACACGTATTCTTAGAGCTTCTTGAAGATTATTTCTCGCTGCTTCTGCATCACGTTGAGCTAAGTGAATACAACCAAGCAAATCTAGAGTTGATGCTTTTTCTAATTGATATTGTTGCCGTTCATTTAAAGCCTTTAGTGCCCATCGAAGAGCAGTATCATAATCACCTTTATCATAATAATAACTTGCTATCTATATTAAGCAAAATAGAGATTAATAGAAACAAAAAAATAGAATCGAAATAAAGTGACGGAAAAGACAGTTAAACAACAACGTATTTTTTACTATTTTTTTCTATGATGTTAAGTTACTAGCTCGAATCCATGTAGAGAGTTTAATAACTAATGGAATTCTCTATTTGACGCATTCTATACTGAGATTTCTTAGATGTATAGTGATGGCAAAGTTTCAAAGAAAAACACGAGATGATTGTTTACAGATCCCAAAAGGTACTTTTTTTAGCCATGCTATTTTAAAGAGCATAAAATTTTGAACAAAATGAGAGGTCGCCGCATTTTTTACAGTCTTTACTTAAAAAAGTTCACTGTACAAAACAGGTTCATAGAAATTGCGATGACTTCTCATCTTGTTCAACATTTCGTGTTCTTTAAAATGGCATTGTTAGAGAAATTTCTTTCAGTACTTGAAAACTACCGTCTTCAGTCTTCTTTTGAAATTTCGCGATCGTAGCTAATCTATGAAATCTTAATATAAAATACATGAAATAAAAAATTCCATTAGTTATTGAAACCACTATCTGAATTAAAACAATGTGCTTAACACGATGGAAAAAAATCAAAAATACATTGTTATTAAACTTTTTCTCACCATCTTATATTGCTTACATTATGATAACATGCACCTAATCCACGTTGATTTTTTGTTTCTTTATATATATCACTTGCTTTTTTATAATACTTAAGTGCTCGATCTTTGTCACCAATTTGATTATAACATACACCAGTATTATTTAAATAAGTGGGTCGATAATGATTATTATGATCCGATAGACAACGAATTCTATTCTCGAAATATTTAATTGCAAATTCAAATTCTCCCATATCAAAAAGAAGTTTACCAAAAAGAACTGATTGATCATCTGAATCAATTTCTGTTGCAAATGTTTGTTCAATATATTTATTAACAATTAATTGCTCATGTTGACTTAATGTAAGATGAATTCTATATAATTCTTTTTCTTCATCAAAATTAACTGATATGATACGAAATACAGATCCAATGGAAATGAGAATTTCTTCTTCTTCAGGATATCGACTAACATCACGAATATCAGCAAATGGAATATTTTGTTCACTATTCAAATCAATATCAATTTCAAATATAACAGCTTCATCATTATTTTTTGAACGACCTAAACAAAATTTTTTTGCAACATCTTCTTCTAATGTTGTTGATACAAAACTATTAAGTGAAATAAGATCATTTATATGGTTTGAAATTAAAAGAATCAATGATAATTTTAATCGTTGACCACGATAAAGATGAAGTCTATTATTTGATATTGATTTTTTATATTCTTTATGAAGAGTTTTTAATTGTCGACAAAGTAATTTAATAATATAACGATACGAATAAATCGTTGAAATATGACCCGAAACTAATGCTTCATTCATCGATCGAAACATAATAGTATTATGTGAATACCACCAAATAGCGTTTTTTGCATTGTCTTGTAATGATTCTTTTTCAAATTCATCTATTGGTTTTAATATTCGTTTATCTTTATTATATTTTATACGAAAATAAGAAATCATTTCTTCTTTAGCTTGTCTATCATCATCTTCAAGTTCAATCATAAAATTATGACATTTATAAAACCAAAGAAAACGTGCTTGATCTTCTTGTAAATTTCGAATTGGATATTGTTCATTTGATTTAGTTTCTAATGATATGGGTTCTATTATATGGACAAAAGAAAAAAGAAATATCGACTGATAGTTTTTGATTATTTCGATTTTGATTACCTGCATCTGTACTATCTTGTTTATTTAATAGACTAAAACCAATTGAAGCCTCATCTCTATATATACAATGTCGAATTCTATTAAATAAATCAGATGTATCTAAACAAGTCGCTCGAATTTTCGGATAATTTAAAATTTGACAATTTTCTGAATTTGTAGTAAGAATAAAAATTGCAAGAATACATAAACAATTATGTATTTTTGGTATGACTTGTTCACTACATGAATCCGAGATAATGAATATAATATAAGATTCCGTATTTTTATCGTTTTGGTTTTGTATGTAATTAATGCATTCTTCTTCGTGAGAAAAAAGTTTTATGTTGTCATCCAATTCATGCCATTGATTTAGTTTTTGTTGATTAGTATAATTTTCGATATTTTTATCTAACCAAACCAAATGATGCACATATGATTGAGTATCATCAATATTTTTAAATGATTTTTTTGATGCATTCGAACTTTTGTCAGCCATGTTATTGTAAAATGATGCGAGAAAGATCTGAAACACTTTACTGATATTCTCAAGAAAAAGCAACAAAAATTTTTCCTTTATATGTTGTTAAAAATGATATAGTTATTGTTTCTTCTAAGCTTGCATTAGCATGAATATATGAAAGACATTGACATAGGCAATAATGACATTAAATGTCGCTTATTTTATTATTTTTTTCTTTTCATAGGTAAGTGACGAAAGCAGAAAAAGAAGTTATTTTCTGTCTTCTTTCTTATTTTTGCCAACAAAGCCAATCAGGAGCTGGACATGATGCTGCACAATGTGCGTACCATACGCTACGTGCATAGCAACGAAGACCTGCTGCACAACGTGTTAAACCAACATAACCTTCACCTAAATAAATAAAAATAAAATAATATTGTATACTAATATACTTTGCTAAAATCATACCTCCACATTGTTCATTTAGTCCAACGACATCTGTTTCACAGGCCCATGTTGGTGGGCATGATGGACGACATTCAGAATACAAATGATTATTTCGAAAACATGCTGTTCCAAGTGGACAGACAGCATATCCAACATTGTTACATTTTGAATAGGCAGATAAAGTGACTGGAACAGGAACAGTAGTAGTAGGGATTGGTGTTGTTTGAAATAATGGAGCACATGCCCAATCTATTTATATTTGCAAAAAAAGAAAGCTTTTAAATATATCAAAATAGACTATATTCTTACCTGATGGGCAATCACCTACTGGACGACACTAGAATAATTAAAATTAAAAGTAATTCGGAAAGTTAAATACAATAATCACTCACTTGAGAATAATAAACACTTCGTGCATAGCACACGTAACCAGCTGGACATACTCGTGGACCAGCCCAACCGTCACCTCCACATTGAGACCATCCAGCAGCATATGTTGGTGCTAATGTAATATATGTTTCACATTCCCAACCAAGATTCAATGGGCAACTATGTTGACATGATGAAAACCATTTATTTCGACGAAAACATGTCAAACCAGCATCACAAGGTAGTGTTGGGTAGCCTTCACCAGCACATTGTTCATAAATACCTACTGAATAGGCAACACCAATGATTGCAGCTAATACTGTTAACTTGACTAACAATGACGATATCATGCTGATGCTATTCAACGTTTCGAATTATAACCTGTATTCAAATATTTTTAAGAGCGTCTTATATATAAGAGTGATTGCGCTTTTTGATCCTTGTTTTCGTCATTCTTATTCTACAGAAAAGTGCTAGTTCTGATCCTTTTGATAATAGGTAGCTTAATAAGCTCTCAAATTTCAACAATATTAAGAAACTAAATACAAATTTAACTTTATGTTGATTTATCTTTATTTTTATAAAAGACTATTGAATTTTAGAAAATACTTGAAATTGAAATCAAAAATAAAATAATTCTTTTTTTTTTTCTAATTATACTATTAGAATTTCCATGAAGAACTGTAAAACAATAAATATAAATCATTCATTTTTCAGTACAAAAATGCCGTAATTTTGCTCGATTTTTCTTGTGATAATAACAATTTGATATATCAATAAATATAATCATTTATGGTATGTAAATCTATCGATTTAGATTAGGTTTTTGTACATGAATGATTAGAATAGCTCTTATGATGCTGAAAAGAAAATAATCAAAACAAGATGTCTAATATCAAAAAGAAGTTTTTCTTGTTTGCTTTTATTATTCATAAAAGTATCATATGAATAAGATACTTTCTCCCTTCTGATTTAGCTGATTGACAAACAATGTTTTTTTTGGATATACTGCCGGAGGTACATAAATATAATGATAGTGATTATGCGATGACCTTTACCTCATTCTAGAAATGTGCAAAACTAATATGTTCTATTAGTCATACGTCATTATTTATACATCTCGTTTGGCATATGCTTGTTTTTTTTCAAGTTTTTCTTTCGGTCTTACTAATAAAATAACGGATGCTTCATTTCTTATACACAATTAATAACTGTTCTCTAATAATTAATGATAGCAATCATTTAGGTTCTATAAATAAGAAAAAAAAAACATTATCTTCATCTGTTCCACGTCGTTTTCATTCTCAGAACGAATTATACTCATTTATCATACATAGATTTCTTTTTTTTTATCTGAGGTTATATCCTTGACGAAAGACATCCCTCCTGATGTTTGCACTTGTGTAGGAGTATACATATTCATTTATCTTTTCTTTTTCTTTCATACTCTTCGATTAGATGGAATTACATATTATCAAATGAAAATTTACTTATTTGAGATTACAGAACAAAATCGATGATATACGATCTATCAATTAATACTAATATAATGTTGATTATTTTTTAATTATATTAATTAGTTGATTAAAGTTTATATTAAAATGATTCTTGTGAATAATTCTGTTTTATCAACGACAGCTATGATAACAACAACATCTGTTGATCTATATCTTAATTCAACAGTAGAAATCAATAATACATCGTCTTTCAGTATAATTCTTACTATTATTATTCTTTCATGTTTAAGTATATCTGGTTGGATTTTTATGTCTTATGCTTTATTCAGTCGATCTGCAGCTTTTCGTGCAAAGCCTGAAGATCAATTTGGTTCATCGAATCCGACCAATAATTCAGATAGACCAACTGGTAATGAGTTTTTCTTCGATTTCGATTGAATGATAAAATAAGTTGGCTTGAATCTATATACTGTTGACTACTTTATTATAAATAACTTTGTTTTTTTTCTTATATATCAAAAAAAAAAGAAAAGATGAAATAGAAAAAAAAAACAAAAAAGAAATGTAATTTAACACTTCCATCCTTCAGGACATTCTGATCGACACTCATGATACCATCTTGAATGTGCATAACATTGAAGACCTTCTTTACATTTTGTTAAACCAACATAATTTTCTCCACCACATGGTGACCATTCAGGTAATGTTTGTTTGGCACAAAACCATCCTTGTGGACAATGTGTTTTACATTCACCATGAACATTTTCTGTTTGAATAAAACAAGCTGTGCCAATAGCACAAGCAAATGGTCCACGAATGTTTCCACCGTGACATTTACCACCAGGTGGAATAACTTGTGGTGATGGTCGAGTTGCAACTGCAGCTGCTTCAGCTGATACACATTGAGAATAATATTTTGAACGTTTCAAACAAATTAAATTTGCTTGACAAGTTTTTGGACCTTCCCAATCAAGACCACCACATTGACCGAATTCTTCAACAAGACCATCTTTATTATTATTGTTATTTTTATTATTATTGTTATTCATATTGTTGTTGTTATTATTATTGTTATTGATATTGTTCATATTAATATTATTATTATTATTATTATTATTAATATTATTATTATTATTTGGAAGATTCATACCATATCCAACACCAAAATAGGGTGGTTGTTGTGGAATTCGATTTGCATATCGATCATCAATAATATTTTGTTGAGCAATTATTAAATTGATAAATATAGCAAAGATAATAATAGTTGATTTTAACATATTGATAATAATTCAGATTTGAAAAGATAAAAAATGAATGAATTTAAATTGATTCATTCATCATGTTTTTATATGTGTCTTATTTATAAACAAACCTTGACTAGATTTTCAAAATGTCAATACAACATTTTAATTGCAAAATATGATTGAATTTGTAGGTTCAAGAAAAAAATTCCTAAAGAGCATATATATTGAGATTACATATATTCACAATACATCAACCTTGACAAAAGATTATCGATAATGTAATGATCTGCTTGTTTGTGATTAGTATATTGACAAGGACTAATAAACATCAATATTATTATCTTTTTCTTTTTTTTCTTTGTTCATGAAGCATATTTGGCGCATACGTTAAGATAATTCTTAATAAAATAATGTCAAGTGCAAAATATATATTAAGTGATAAAAATGAAACAATGTATGTATGATAGGACAATAAATATTTTATTAAACATATGAAAGAATTTTACTTTTAGTTCATGGACATATGATCGACTTCTTTCAAATGCATCGATTGAAAAAAAAGATTTAAGTTTACTTGGTTTTATTGTTGGTATTCTATGTATTATTAGTATTTTATGTAGTCTTATTCTTAGAATTTTCATATATTTATATGGTAGAATATCATTATCTAAGAAATCAGTTGTGGAATCTCCATCTATAACAAGTAGTACAACAACAAATAACACAATGAGTGAATTTTAATTTGAGATAATTTTCATTTTTTATTTCTATGATGCTTTGAGTATGCCTTAAAACTTATAAAAATTATTTTGAAAACATTTTCCTTCTGCATGAACATGGAGTTCCTTGCTTATGTTGATTTTTACTAATAGAAAACGTTTTCAAATTAGATATCAAGGTAACTATTGTTAAATTTTACAATTAAAATTGAAAATAAAAAACGACAACCCAGAATCAGATCCGTGTTCATTGAAAAACTCATGCACTTAGAAAAATTGATACTAATATATCGAATTTATCTAAACAGCAGAAATCACTTCAGAAAATTGATAATGAAAAATTTCATAAAATCTTTCAAATTTATTCCGATGAACATTTCATTTTTCTTGTCTGTTTTTTTGAGTTCATTGTTTATTAATCGATTGATATTTACTTCATCGAATATATAGAACAAGTTTTATAACTTTTCTTTTAAATACATTTTTTCTAATGCATTTTATTAACTTTTAATGATCACTACAATGAAAGTATATTCTGGAAATCTGAAAATTTGTGTACATACATTTCATCAAAAATGTAGGTCATTCGCATTGCGGTAATGTTATTGCTTCATTATAAAAGGAATTATGCTAGATGACATCCGTTTTTGTTGTCAACCTAATAACCCGGAAAAGAAAGAATATTCTATGTCAACTAGCTCTTCATTCACTATGATTATTATTATGGGGAGAAACAATCTACTACCATGTGGAGATCAATGACGGTTGAATAAAACGAGTTCAAACTTTTAGAAAAACTTCTTCTACAGTTAGACATTATTACATACATGTTTTAAAAGCAAGCCTTGTACTAAACAAGACAATATTTTGGACGTATTCTATTTCGCGCTACAAAGTCCCAGTAAATATTTTTGAACCAAATATTTTCACACAGTTTTATAGGAGAGACATTGCTCTTTCTCGCAAGAAAACTACAAAATTTATACGAGTCGACATTGTTATAATATAATGAAATAAGTTATATAAGTATTATTTATAATGTAAGAATTTCAATTCATGAAATAGAATTTGAATCATCTATCACAGTTATGTTTAGTATCGTTTATTTATTTATAAAAGAAAAACTACAATCTTCATCATCTATCAATATATAACAAAAAAAAATAACAATAAAATAATCCTTGTATAACTATAAATCTCTGTTACAACAACCAGCATGTTATTTAATATTACTAGTAAATGTTCCAAAGATTTTTTCATATTTATTACATTCACCAAGAAAATTCCAAGAAATTTTTTGTATTTGATTTTCATTTATTTTCTTCTTAGATGTTTTCTTAGAATTTATGATGATAAGATCTTTTTCACGTGAATTTATTTCATTATCAATTAGGATCCAAATTTCATAAATCATTTGAAATCGTTCAAGATAAATTTGATCAATTAATTGTATTTCATCTAATTTTTCAACAAGTAAAATAATTGAATAAAGTATATGACGTAAATTTGGTAATTCATTATTTATTTCTATGAAACATATAAGTTGAAAATATAAATAAAGAAATAACTAGAATATTTACTTTTAATTTTCTGTTGATCATCTTTAAGATAATGTCTAAGTAAAGAATCATTTTCAAAATCACTATGATCATCATCGAGTATAAAACTTTTTTCTACACGTACAATTGACGTTGGTAACATTATATCCAACATATGTAACCAACAATTTGTACATACAGTAAATAATGCATGTAAACGTGGACGACATTTTTCTAATGGATTTTCTAGTAAATAAAGAAAAATAGAAGGAAAGATAGGTTTTTTAGTTAAATGAATATTTTTTTTTACCAAAAAATGTACAACATAAACGAATAAAGTTGAGAAGAGCTTCAGCACGATAGAAAAATGTTTTTTTAATACCATTTTTTTCCACATTTAATTTTAATGCTTTAAGATTTCGTTCAATCTCAATTATTTCTCCAATTGTAGCTGCATGAACTGTTGTTCCATATTCAACATGTTGTTGCATAAGACGTATTGATTCATTAAGCCAATAATAACTAGATTTTGATAAAACAAAACGTGATCGATCACCAAGTGGATCGTTTATAATTAAATCTAAGAATATATGTTTTAATTATGAATAATTAAATGTACTTTATCTTACAATCATTTTTTGATTTACATTCAAATATTTTTATTGTATCATTTACATGTATTGTATAAATATTTTTCCAATGTGATGTAACATCAATAGAATGTTTCATTTTTTTCTTTGATATTATATTGCATTCTTCGGAATGAAGACGTTTTTTTATTGATTGTGATAGTGAAGGATTATCAAGTGTAATTTTACTCATCGATGATCTGTTATTTTGCTTGTGACAAAAAGACGTTAGTTATGGATATGTTAAACACGCGGTCATCTAGGTATTTCATGGATGTATGTATGTGTATTAGTCACTATTGGTATGTTAAAAAAAAATACAAATACAATTTTTGATTGTTTTTTTTGAATTCAATGCAAGTTTTTTGATTGACAGTGTTCAAAAATCGGCAGTGTAGAATTTTTAATATTTCCATAGAACGCGGTATAGTTTAATTTCATGAGGCAACCAAATACTGCTGTCTTTAACAAAAAGAGAAGAAAACACATGGATAGTCAGACGCATACAATTAAATTCCCTTCTAGAATTTTCCTCATACTCAATCATTTGTTGTTTACGTGCTTGAGAAAAGTTATATGTTCATAAAATGTGGTTTTAGACAAGAATTATAATCCGATATAACCTTTCTCTGGACTATCATGAAAATTTTATCATAGAATCAGATGTATCATGTTTATATTTTTTGCAATATCAGAACTGACAAAACATAAAATAAATTTTCAATAAATATGAAAAATACGAATATCGATTGCGGCAAAAAACGGCAATATATTTTTCTGCTTTTTATTCTTTTGATAAACATTAAATATATTTTTTTACTTCGATCATGACGATCATTGTCATAGAATATCCAAGTAACTAAAATCTATGTTATCCACATTTATCTCAATTAACATATCTAGCAGCAGCTAAAATGAACATTGAAAATTGCTAAAGACAATACTTTCAGAATAAATCAAAAGACGACAGCTGCTTTAGATAGCATAATTAAATATTGAATTTATTAATAACAATTCCGATGTCTCGATGAATTAAGTCATTATGATCAAGATCACTATGTGCAATGAAGAAACGATAAATTATAACAAAAAAAAAGAGAAGAATAAAAAGACGAAAAATATATTAGATATCGTTTATATTAACTACTTAGATCAAGTAACATATTTCTTGGTAACCCATTGGAAAAACAATCCATGGAATAGACTATGTTGTTTGATTGAGTTCTGGCTCATGTGTCTGGACTCATAAAGATTCTCTAATCAATAAACAAAAGAGATGGTTGTTTTGTCAAACAACACGAAAGTTTTTTCCAGTTGACGTGATGACCAGTTTCCTTTTCGTGTTGCATTATGGATGAGAGGACAACATCCTTTTAAATTTTGTTGTCGTGGGAAGAATCAGATATCAATATTAGGACGAACTTTGTTAGACAAGTGTATGATTTTCTTTTTCATTGCAAATGTTGTTTGTCTAATGGACGGAATTTCAACATATTTACGTTTCTGATTGCATGCAAGTGTTGATGAATTTATTTCTTAATCATTCTTCTTTAAGTACTGACTTAATTTAGTACCAATGAGAATGTCGATGGATGATATTGGATAACCATCAGTCATGCCAACCCTTCGTATTTCTTTTAGTTCAGCCAATAATGTTGAGGATATTGAATAGATGGTCATTGCACACTGGATCAAATTAATACTGCTGACCATCTTGTATTCTATAAGGGTATAAAATATACGACTAATGGTTAGCCATCAGAAATATCTTCAAAACCTGTCTTTGAAAACAAATCAATTGCAAACGAAAAAAAATAGAGTTATGTTCGTCGATATTGAGGATCTTGATACTTTCAATTTATCAATGTTTCATGAATTAACATCAGCTCAAGAAAATACTACAAAATTCTTGCAACATTTATAACTTTTACCAACAAAACTCAGCGATAAAGACTGATATCCCAAATAATGTAACAATTGACACCTGGAGAATATAAACAATAGTGGAGATCATGGTACGTTTTGAGTAGTGGAGGAGCCACGATTTTGAGCTTAGAGGGGCTCAGCCACATCTGAGGGACCTTTGAGCCCCTTTGGCGAATAAAATACATGCTTCAAAAATTTTCCTGGGGGAGCTGAAAGGTTCCTGAGACCCCCTCCCCCCAGCCATCCCTTGGCTTCGTCACTAGTTTTGACAGAAAAATGCAAGTAATTTATTGTTTTCTATTTATAGGTAAGATTTTTCGTTGTCGGAAATGTAAATGTACGAAATCTATAAGAACTGGAGCACTTTTTGCCTAGTCACATTTCTCATAACGTCAAATATTTTAATTAAGATATTACTGAGCAAGATAAGCAGATTCAATTATACAACTATCCCATGTATTAAAAATCGGTTCAAGTCATACCGTTATCGACTGAAGAAATTTTGCAGCGATGTATACGCAATTTATTTTATTAATAATGCATAAAAAAATTGGAAGTATGTCTCTAATGCAATCACGATTGTACGAGTAATACAATATTCAGGTTCTGGTTATACTGGCTTAATCGACGAAAGTTCTTTTGGCAAAAGAAAGTATCAACGATGGTATTGACATCAAAATTAGGATGCGGACGTAGACAAATACAATAGTCACACCTACCTCCGCATTCTATGTGGATTATCTCGCAAATATTCAATGAAACATCTTCTATTCATTGATGCAATACCTTCTTCATCAGAACGACACTGTATTAAATTAACAGCACAATCATCTATGACAGTAACTCTTGCTACACCGTCTAGAAATCACCTTATTCTGAAGCCTATTTCTACTTTGAAGAAATTGTGTGGCCTCATCCCATAGCTGAATATTTTTTAATGGATGACATGTTTTACATTAATAAGATTCTTGTTGATTAGCTAAACAAGAACAAATCGATTTGCTGAACAATATACAACATCAAATGATGAATGAATATATTCTTCATTACCTACAATTTGAGCTATTAGTACCCATATATTTGAAAAAGATAATTGAACAGAAGTTAGTCTACTTCAACAATGGACTAATCGATGTAATGGAACTAGTAAGTTAAAGCAATACAAACAATAGATGTAAAAACAATTTGTGTTCGTTTTTTTTTACAAATCTGTTCGATACTGATGTATTAATTCCATTATCTGGTATTAATGTTATTGATGATGAAGATGTAATGAATATTTGAGTCTGTCTGATGACTGTCTCTTGACGCTTTAATTTCTTCTTTAATACATCTGATACATGTGAAAATTTTCATTTTTTGGCTAGACTTATTTTGTCTGATATTTTTAAGAGATATGATAATTGTTTTATAATTTCATCTTAGCTTTACAATTCATCACATTTCGAAGAATATAACTAAAAAGATATTAATAGATTATTTATAGACAGAAAGAAAAAATAAACACATCGAATGTATCTATATGGGTAGATAAGATATAAAATAAAAAATCTTGTGTATTATAGATGAACCTTCAATTTTCATGAAATAAACGATGGACATTATTACGGTACGCTGTTGAAATTAATCATCATTCTCCATTAAAGTTCTAATCCATCATTATCAAACAAACAACAACAGTTTGTATTTCTATCAAATATAAAAAATGTTCGTTCTCATGTTTATTAAATAGGCGACAATGCCAAACAATTGATTCTTTTGAAGGATTTCTTACAATTCGTCTAAATTTAACAATTACTCAACAAGTATGTGTCATTCATCATGAAACAAAACTCATTGAATATATAAGTTTATTGTGCTGTTTTTGTATATCTATTAATCAGGCATAAAACTAGGCTTGAAAAAGAAGTTGGTGAACAATGATCAATTATCGATGTTCATATCAAGAGACTGATTTTGCTATCGTATTTGTTCTCACTGTCCCTTCGCCGTCTGGAACTGAAGAATGTTATTTCTCTTTTAGGAAAAAAATGTGCTGCTATTTTTAATTAAAATGTTTAAAAGAATATAATAAGTGAAAGAAGAGGTTCTCAGTATGTTTTTTGTAAATATTAGCCTGCATATCCATAGAAAAAAATCAATTTAACCAGCAGATTCAGTCATAATTGAACCTTCTTTGACCATTTTGCATAGTTTTCCTTTTGTCGTTCCATCTCTCGATTGGTCAAGTCCCACACGTTGATTTCACTGGTCATCGCATAGGGCACTGGACCGTACTCAGGTGTCAATGTGATCCATGTTCTGTTTTTTTGTGCATCCCATATCATTTCCCACCATCTTTGCATTTGCTCACTTTCTTTCTTCGACTCAAGCGGATCATTGACTTGAGCATGCTGGGTAGAGCCGACGCGCGCATGAAGATGATCAACCCGTGAAGCAAACAGACGAAAACGTTCATCATCTGTAGGATGCTCCAGTAAACGTTCACAGACAAGCATAAAATGGGAATAATCGGCAGTTAAACGAAGAGTAGGAAAACGTTGAACGATGTGAGCAGTAATGAACGGATTGTAAAGTGAACGACTGCGATGAGTCTCAAAATATTAAATTAGAATAAACTTGTTCGATTCGTAGAAGAAAAAATGATGGTCAACAATCAAACAAGAAACAAAACTCACTTCGTGTGATGATGTTACTTGCGAATACTTTGCTTGTACTTCCAATGCTTTTTCAAAAAACTGCTCATTTTGCTCAATTGACCATGAATCCTGACCACCTTGGATATTCACATGTATTGGTTTGTAGTGCATGAATTCTTCGAAATGGTTCTCTAGATTAGCTATATGTTCATCGATCGATAAATCTTGCCATGTACCATTTTTTATAGTTGGATAAGTCGTTTGTACTAGACCGATCAATTCAAGTTGATTGTCATGTAGAGCTCGACGGAAGGCATCATGATCGTTTTGACAAATACGGTGGATGTCACTAAGCGTAACCTCGACACCTGTATAGCCCAAACGATGGAATTCAGCGAAAAGATAATTGATGTCGGTCGAAAATTGAGCTTCAGCACCCCAGAGAGCACGAAAGAATTTTAGCTGAGGTACCGACATTGTTTTAATATGTTTAACAATAAGTGAAAATAATGTAAAGACACGTTTTATTTATTAACCTACTATCAGTTCGCTGAGCAAGATAAAAAAATAAATAGAGTCCTAGATAAGTATGCAAAAAAAAACCTTACTTTTCAACAGTTACCTGGAT